AAAAATGAAAAAAAAAATGACTAACTTTCCTTTTCTATAAAAGGATCTTCTGAACAGAACGAGAACTAATCAACCTCTCAAATGGTACAAAACATTGAAAAGTTATTATGAAAGACCAGAATGGGAACTATATGATCTTAAATACGATCCAGAAGAAAGAAATAACATTGTTTCTAAGTCATCTGTACAGGTAGATATAAACAGAATCGTGTTATTTCAATCATTGCAATATCATAACATAATCACATACATTTTAGGATATATTCACTGATCTACGCAAAAGATTATTAAACTGGCAAGAAGTAACAGCAGACCCATGGCTCTGCGCGCCCACAGGAATTCTGGTTAACATTGAAACTGAAAACCCTCAGTGCATGTCATTACAAAATTTCCTTTAGAACAAACGAATGTCTCAAATTTTGTTAAGACTAAAATAATCACCATTATATTCATTACCAATATTTATTACTAATCATTCTTGAAACTATCAAAGGTATATTACACGTGACACACGTGATTTATCGTATTTATAACGATTACTAGCATTGTAAGACAAATACAAATATTGGGAACCTAACAATCAATAAATGATCACAGTTGACAATTTATCCAACTACTTTCTCCTAAATTATACTCACCAAAATACTTTACAGTGGAAGAACAACGCGCGGTACGGAAACGTTTTTCATATTTCTTTCACGGTGTTTTGAAAGAATTTCATTTAGCTGACGCACGTAAGTCGAGGACTTGTTCGCAGACTTCTCGACCGCTTTCAATTCCGTGGAGATTTCATTCATCTAAATAAATACACATCGATCAACATTTCACGGTCGCGTACAAATTACGGAGTTACGTTTGTTTTATCGGATGAGATCTTACGTATTCCTTGTATCCTAAATATCTGTTGTACTTCTGATTATTATTGTAGATTTGTTTCACTTGTATCATAAAGACAAGGCACAGCAAAAGACCACCGAGTAACACGAGCAAATTCGTATTTTGGAAACCACGTAAAACGAGCATCACTCGCATGGAGGTTATGTTTACAGTCGGGCAGCTCCGTCGACGAGAAAAAAGTGTCGCGAAAATGTTCTCGAAAAATACTGTACATTTACACGTGTTCATAGAAAATGTTAGGAACTTAATATTACGTCAGTTTCGCGAATCACACGGCCGCGCGACAATCTCATCGGATAGTTAATGTTCCGGCTAACGGAATTTCAATTTTCCACATTTAAACTGTCCATTAGGTTAGGTCCAACTACCGAGTCCAAGTGATTGTTATGATTGTCAGAGGTCGCCATCGTACGAATGTATCGTGACGTATTCCTGTCGATATGATAAACTTGACAACTTCTTAACCAACCACGTTATTGCATTTGATTGTTTTTCCTAAGATTGTTAATTTCACAATATTACTTAATTATTAATTTGATAAATTTTATGTTAAATACCACTCTGTAAAATTAGTAATAAATACTTAAAAATTAATCTATATATTTTAGTTCCAATTAACATTAACCCATCGTTAAATTAAAAAATAAATTCCCAATTAATTAAACGCGTGTAAGATCACGATTACCGTCAATTGTGGATTCCCTCGATGTCAACGATCCCGATTATCGTTAAAACTATCAAACGAATAATTAAACATATTCATAATTATTTCGACGCAATATTCGTAAGATTCATTTAATTCGTTATTAATCATATATATCAAATTTTGTTATATCGTTATAATTTCTACAATTAAAATAGTTAATTGTAGGTAAACATGGCAGCGTCGTTATTGCGACATCGTAATATTATTGTATAACAGAGAGATAAGTCTTCCCGCTTATATCTTCTATCTCTGTACAGAAAATTACTCAACGTTGATACCGGAGCAACATTAATATTCACGTGCGCCCACTCGTGTTCCATTGTGTACCGTTCGTTATCGTCGCTACCGTTTCAGATTTTCCCTAAGACTACCATCATTCCTCAACTGCGTCCTCCGCGATCCTTCAAGTTGCATTGTACGATCTGGTATTCATTCGCAACGACACTAATTCGCTCTGAAATTCAAAGAAACTTTTTGAGAAGCACAGCATTTTCACCGCGGAAGCGGCCATTTTGTTTCTTGAAGCGAAAGCAAGCGAATCCCGAATTTTAACCATCGAATTTCACGAATTACACGGAACATTTGTTAAATGGTTCGTATTGAAACGATCTAGAGCACACCGATACCTGGAAGATGACGCCGATGAATGGAAATAAACTTCGACACCGCAATTAACACTAACACCAGATAGATCGAAACAATTCCTGATGTCTTCGTTTCGCAATGATTAGAAAGATAGACGAAATTGTATTTGGAAGACTAAAAACAAATGATAATTAGTCAAACAGCATGAAGTTTCCCTGTTCCTATTAACACTAGAACTACCGAGCGTTTAATACGATTGATACGTAATCTCTATAAAAATTGTAACAATAGATTACTTTCAGTTTCTTTGGATACTCATAGTACTCAAGTGAAACTATTTCCAAAATCATTTCAAGTATTCAATGCTTCGAAGATATCAATAATTGCTAAACAAACAAATCGAAACCAGTCATTTTGTCTAGTACGGTACTTCTAGTGTTAATTAAGCAATTGTATTATTCAGCTTAATCCGGTTTCCTATATTTCAAAGAATCTTCGAGGGGTTAAAGATGATTCACGAAATCTGAATCATAAATCAAAGTCAGACGCACTGTTCTAGTTTCTATATACATTTCGAAAAGTGCTCGGTAGTTCTAACGTTAACAAACATCGGTCCCCCGACGTAAAATCGAGTTCTCCGTACTCGGTCGGTCGATTATTCTACACCGTACCAGGCAATACGGTTTGATCCGCGGAGTAAAGACTTGTTCCGCTAATGATGACTGAAGCAATGACCTCGGTTATCATCAGGCAATCTCTATGATGGAACTCCACTTGGACCGAGCTGTACGGTTCTCCGATAATCGCTTGGCAGAAACTAGACGGGGGAGAAGAGATCGATGGTAGTTCGCTCGTGTTCCATCCGTCTCTTCCGTTTAGCATTCTCGTATCTCGATTCCTTCCTTCTTCTTCTTCTTGTTCGTTCACCTTCTCCTTTTCTTCCGTTCACTTTCGCACGAGTATTCCCAGGCCTGGTCCCGAGACGAGTTTCGCGTTGAAAACAGATCCCTAGGTTTCTGTCGCGTTCTTTCGGGCCGTCGATCGTAATTGGCAAGAAGACGTAAATCATCGCAAGAGAGGGGACGAAGAATCATTCCTCGCGGAGGATCGTTTCGAATTTTTATTGTTCTCAAGGTTCAGAGCGCAAACCGCAGGTGAACTCTACGCGCGATCTGTCGTAGCCACCGTTCGCGAACTAATTCTACACGATATATCTTTTAGAAAATAAATAAAGATCTCTATCTTAAAGGTAGAAACAGTACACGGGTTCGTCTGTCAACGGTGTACAGGTACAGAATACTTGCCGTTCTATCGATGATCGATGATCGACGACCGATGACGCGGCATCATCGTGTATATATATAAACAAATTGTCTGTTCGAGGAGCACCGTATAGAAATCTGCGCGGTGCTTCGGGCAACCTCCAGCTTCTTCGCGACGATACAGGACGAGGATCAACAATGTTCAAGAATCCGGAAAAGAAAAAAAGAAAAGAAAAAAAAAGCATACGTTATGTTTTCTCGTTTTCGTCCCGTACGTTCCGCCGGTCGTTGCCAGTCGCTCCGCGTAACACGCGTAACGAGCAAAGTGTAAACGAATAATTACCAGACTACTTTCACTTTGAAACTCGCCAGAAGGTGTCGGAAAGCAAAAGGGCACCGACAGACTCGATTCTCTTCTCGCCACCTTTTGGGGAGTTCGAAAGACAAGGGATGAGATCGCGTCGCACGCTCGATTAGACTATATAACAATCGTACGGGTTCGTAATTCGGTCCATTTCGGATGAACGTGAAACATCGTCTCGCGAAAGGTTTACACTGTCGGTCGCCAGGCGTTCCGGCCACGCAATTCGAACAGCACGTCGAATGACGGTGATTACGTAGAAAGTTTAATAGAAAATCGATCGGGAGGGCCGACGGTCGTATTGCGACCGTTCGACTCGTCTATAGAATCACAAGAATCTATAATTCTGTAAACTAGAAGTATACCTACGCGCTTACTCGGATATGCGTGCGCGTGCACAGGGTGTCGCGTGTCATTCGTCGCAGCTAACCTGGCACTCTCGCCTGAGTGGTCGGATTCGACGATGCACGCCTCCCTCGCACGATTCGCTGTGGCGGCCACGCCCACTGGCCGGCTCGCGCGTCGGAGGGCGGGGAGAGCGTTCCCCGGACTCGCGATTGGGTGCCTCGGCGCTGCGGAGGCGGATGGACGGAGTCAGTCGCTCGGTAGCTCCGCCCTTATGAAGTCACGAGTGCCAGGTTCGCATTTTCGTGACGCTGGTAGATCCAAATCAACGCGATGAAACAATTTTATTCCATATTTCCCGCTGTTTTCAGCCCCTGTGCGGTTGTACCAGTCACTCGACACCCTGTATGCAACTACATGCCTACAGAAATAGATTGTACAGGTATACAGGCGCACGCACAGACGCAATATTACGCGTTCCCGTGAGAGCGCGCTAGAACTGCTTAAATAACGATTTAATACTTTGCATTACATTCGATGCGTCGCGATTCGCTGCTGCGATCCGTACACGAGACCTGTCGCTTCCGCCTCGTTTAAACCGGAAACCAACCCGACGTTGGCGTTCAATGTGAAACGAGGAAATCGTTATACCTAAATAGTCTTTGAGAGAAGCGCCGCGCCGCACCGTCGAGACCGTACGGTTAATTGTAAGTATTTCATCGTGTCACTTTCTAATATCGTGACGACGTTATTCCGCGGCGTCATGAGGACGCTCGTCTTCCCTCTGGGAAGAAAACTTTCCTCGGAAACCGTCGGTCGTAAATAACAAATCCCGTTCGTAACTCTAACGCTAATTCTAAGAGTACTTAGGCGTGTAGGTGTATCATAAAAACGATCAATACTAGAAATTCCGCCATTCCTGCGATCGCGGTGCGAAATGAGATATAAACAACGCCGCTACTCTCGTTGGAAACCTCGTTGGTAAACGATCGGGGATTATCTCTATTTACAAGGGAATCTCTTCAATCAGATTTCGATGAAACTTATGTGGGACGTAGTTCTTTAGGAAATATTTGACACGTTTCTTATTGTAACGTCTTCTTTGAAAGGGTGAAGACACCCTCAAGTGTCATGTGTCATGATCTGGCGCTGATTGGAAAGCCTCCCTTGTTAGCAAACGTATGCTCGTTTAAATGTAGACAACAAGTAGAAAAACTGCAACAGGATCAACCGAGAGCACCGAAAAGAGCAACAAGGATGCTATGTAACTACTGAAATCTAGTCTTGTACAAGAATAAAATTGCGAATCTCGAGTTATAACCCTCACGGGTTACGTCGCGATACAAACGGTTGAGAGAACGAACCAGTTTCACTCGAATGTTTAGGTTCTCGACGCAACCTACACCGAATTTTCCGCACGTATCGCGGCCCGGCCATTTAAAAATTCTCTGATTAACACTAGATTCACGGAACCCGTCAGTTCGACGGATACCGAACGTTTCAAGCATCATTTAATAACAGTTCACGTCGATTCTGACTCGTACAATTACGAGAATACACATTGTAACAGCCCAGTTTCGAAGCTACAATTTTTACAATCGATATAGAACATTAGAACCAATAGAATAAACAATTAAAACGAACCCCGTAGATCTAGTGTTAACCGAGTCGATTCTTCCGTCGACGAAGCAGTTTCGCACGCAGCTCGAAAAACTCGTGTCGCGCGGGGAACGTGGCTTCTATACTTTCCGCGCATTTCCTCGACACCTAAACTCTATAATTAAACGTTTTACAGTAAACTTCATGCATCCGCGAATAACCCTTTGAACACCCTACACATCCTACGAGCAATTGATAATAAGTTTCCTTTCGATGTCCCGTTCTACGTCAGGTTCTACGAACTTTTACAGAGCCGTTGAATCTTAAATAGCTAGTGTATAATAGTATGTATACGTGTACGAATATGCAAGTATATACCGCGATGCGGCGCAATAAATAATCTAATAAATAATATGCTGAACGCGATCAACAACGTTCAACGAACATCTCGCTTTCAGGAGTGACAGTTGATTCGATGCTTCAATATATATATATATATATCATTCTCGTCTAATCTCCGATCGTCTCGCGCGGAATAATGACAGCTTAGAGGGTGGAAGCCGCGTTACCCTCGCGCGGCACAAATTTCCCGGGTAACTGTACACAACAATCTAACAATCGACACCAACGAGAACCGTCGCTCGCGTCTAAATAAATAGCGTTCAACAAGAAATAAATACATCCTCGAAACTAACGCGCGGCCCCGCGTTGTCCCGCGCGACGCGAGATAACGCGGGCGAAATGAAAACTCGGGGCATATCCGCGTGTTTCCTGCGATCGCAGTCGATCGCCAGTGGCCGCGGCGTAAATGCATCGCTTCCGAGGCTCTCGAAATCGGGAGCGCCGCGTTCGTGATCCAATTATCGCTGTTATCTCAGATACTCCGCTGAGCAAACTTCGGAGAGCGAACTCCTGGCCGTCTATCGACAGTCGAAGCTATCGGAGATCAAGCGTGCGAATGGAGATGGAAAGATAGGAGCCGAGTACTCGCGTAACAGTTCGATTCGCGTTACTAGGACAGATTCACTGTTAAATGCTTCAACGATTCGCTGGTCTGGATTCCCTGATTCGAGGTGGAACAGAGATCACCCGATGGGAAGTAAAAGGGGTAGTACGAACACGTCCCAAGGGTGGTCAGCGTTAACCTTTTAGCTACTCCATTGGTTTCCGTGGATGCTTTAACGCTAGGACTACCGAGCGCTTAACCGTGTGAGTGCCGAGCGGCGCGATGGCGGCTCTCCGTTATACTAAGAGCCGCCATTCTGTCGGTTCATAGAGTAAAATTAACTTCGTCTTCCTAATTATTTATTTTTATTGCCTACTTAGAAATGGAAAACGGAACGATCGCTATTTACAATCTTTTCAAAAACAAAAGCTAATTCGGTTTAGCTAAGACACTCGAACGGTTAAGTTTTCCAAACTTTCTTCATAGCTAAAAGCGTGAGTTTATTAAGATTTCAATTCACCTGTATTAGTGTAGGTAATGCTAAGTCAGCTTTAATCGTCTCTTAAATAAATACCTTGGGAATAATCGTAAAAATCATTAGAAATCAGTCGTTTCGACCAACATGGTAGTCCTAGTGTCAACCGGTATGCCACTGAATTGTCTATAGATACGTTTAACGTATCGCTCGACTGTCCTAATTTCTTTCGCATTCGTCGCGAGCATCTCCGACATTTCTAATGTCACGGTAAAAAGGCGTAGCTAAAAGGTTAAAGGTTAAAATAGACGAGAGACGATCGTCGCTCCTCGACTGCCCCAGCAACACGGCAAAGCTGGATCAAGGAGAACAAAGGGAAGAAAAGCCGCCACCGAACGATCGGGACAGGTGAGGAGACGCGGAATTCCTTCGACGATGATCATGATGAATGGCGATTACGATCACGCGACGGGCGTCGGATCATCAAGGTTTTTAGGCGTGTGTCGTCGAGCAGGCGACGATGTCAGCGGTCCCAGCGTAAGGCAGTTTGCTGTTGGATCGAGCGACCGATCGAGCTCGGATCGTCCAGGCGAGCGGCGTCCCGTCCCTTCCGAGTGGAGGACTAGCTTCCCAGAGGCAACTAGAAGACAGTCACGGCCTTGTTGCGGTCAGCAAGCGAAGAGCGAGCTCGTTAGGTCAACAGATGCGATTGCTAGCGCCATTATTCACCTGTGTGCCGGCTCCCGTCTCGTAATCGTTCGAGCGGTGCTTCTCGTCCGTTGGCCGCTCGGTCCGCTCCTTGAACAGGTCCGCCACGCAGATCGCCTACGAACAGTTTCGAAACGGTTCACACCTCGAACCGCGTTCCGCCTTAACCCGTTGCCTCACGGCTTGTTTCTCGGCTATCGTTCAACGACTACTTCGAAGTTAATAAGACAGAATTTTGTGCATTGATATAATAGCAGATAATACAAGACTAATATTCAATTCGAATTCAAAGGGATCGAGTAATGTTCATGCTACTTCGATTCTTTAACCCTTAACGGACGAAGACACTTTGAAATATACGAAAGCTTCAGTAGATGAAGCTAAATTATATATCGATTGCTTAAGTAGTAGAAAGAAGGAAACTAGGCACTGATCCCTTGCTGTTCGAGTAAGTAACCCTTAGCACTCCAGGTTGTTTTGTAATCTATCAGCAACTGCAACTAATTTTTATAGTATTCCTAGCGAAAATTAGAAATGCTATAACATTTTTTCGATCTTTTATTTTCCTTCTTAGTACAAAATTTGGATGTGTGGAAAATTTAATAATTTTAGGGTAGTTTCTTTAAGATTCATTAAAATATTTAATATTATAACTGGTGCAATATTGGAGCCTACAGAGTTCAAAGGGTTAAATCATTCATCTACGATTTAGCGTTCCGAATATAAACATCTGATATCGAAATGTCGACATTCGTCCGTAAAGGGTTAAAATCTACACTACACATCTCACGTTATTATAAGGAGGGGTCAAGCTTAAAACGCGACAGTCAAAGTGTTAAGTAGGATCGCTCTAGATTCCGATAATCGAGAAAAAAACGAAGCCTGCGTCCAGTCGCGAATGGATCGAGTCTCGATATCGTTCGATCGTCGTTATGTTTACATTGTGCGCCGCGCGCACGGGAGGAGGGGGTCGTAAAAATTCAAATCACCCGAGTTACCTAAGCTCCTTCGCATTTATGATCGAGGGTAATTTACGACCGCACAATGGGACAGTTAAGAGGAATAAACGCTTACCACAACCAGCGACACGACGGTGCCAAGGGTCGAACCCGCCAGAACGTCGCTCCAGTGATGTTTGTAATTGGAGACCCGCGACAGAGCCGTAAACCAGGCCATCAGGATGCACACCAGCTGAAGGACGTGTTTCAGCAATTTGCTCCCCTTCCAGGTCATCCGCAACTGCAGGTACAACTGGGCAACGCGGAGAACAAACCGATTCAATATCTCACGAGCAGGTCCAGTTCGATGCTCGCTTAAATCGTACAATCCCGGGTCGCGTCGGTGAAATTTAACCAAGCAGAACGAAGCTATTCGCTTCGAGGAAAATTTCAATTGCAATTTGAACTTTACGAACGCAGTACCAGTGGACTTCTGAGATCGTCGCGGTTCAAACGAGTCCAAACACGATAGGAATCGGACTAGTATCACCAACTGAGTGCAATTAACGAGGCTAAAGGTTCGTTTCCATGGAATTATAAAACTAGACCGATCCACGTCGTGTTTGTACTCGTTTCAAAGGGGAGGACCTCAACATTCCATCGGTACTATAATCGAGAAGCTAAGATCGAGATGATTACAATGAAAATTTTGTTGCACGTTTACAATTTGACCCGTGTCCTCTCATCCTATCCATTCTATCTACCGAGATCATATTCCATCGAGTTCGAAAACAGTAATAGGAAGACGCAGTGGAATCAAACCGAGCAGATTCCCGAGGAACTCGACTCTTTGCGGACGAAGACTTTGAAATATACAAAACCGTCAGCAGATCGAGCTAAATTACATATCAATCACTTAACCCTTTGCACTCGAAAGTTTTTCACTGGAAATATTCAACATTTTCCGACAAGATAACGAAGCTTTTTTATTGAAATATTTCACATAGCAATACAAAGTCTAATTTAAAGTACTAAATATTCAATTTCCTGGTTTCCCTGCATCAAATCAAGTGATTGAGAGTCACCTCTCGAGTGCAAAGGGTTAATCGACAAAAGAGGAGACCACGTGCTCTGCTGTTCGACTGGCTCGTTCGCGACTCGGTCCTCCAAATGCGAACGTTCCATCGAAACTGTCGTTCGTCCGCGAAGAGTTAAGCGAGCACCACTGCGACAGAGACTCGCAGCGTAAAAAGCAAAGACAAAATATGCTTACCGCAAGGTAGACCATCGTGTAAGCGGAGAAGGACGAGTGTCCAGAGGGGAAGGATAATCTGCAAAAGATGGACGTTATAAATCGTGCCGCGTCGAATAAATCTCGTGCGGCGATCGTTACGCGCAACAAATTCTCCTTTTATTATTCAACGTGGCGGTCGGATCGTCAACCGTGCGCGCGCCGTCCCGTAATGGGACCCTATTCGTTTTATCGGAATTAATTCCTGGGCGTGTTCCGTGCCGATTACAATCGCCGGACCCGGGGCCCGGGGATCGTAAAGATCCCGTAGGTGAAAAAAAAGGACGCGAAAGAGCCAAAGAGGAAAAAGAGAGAAATAGGAAGGGGCCGGGAGTGGACCCGTGGTAGACGGCGCACCGTGGACCTCCATTTGCAAGAGTAATTGGGCATCAAAGAAGCTGCTTTAATCGGATATTATCTGCCCCCTCCGCCCGTTCCGCCCCTTTCCTTGCTTCCTTTCCTTCCTTTTGAGCACGCCCTCTTCGTGGAACTGGTTCCGCGGAACGTATTATTTAATCTTAATTGTGTTTACTTTGGCCGGAGCACGGTAGGGGATAGCCGGCGAAGATTGTTTGCTTCTTTCCGCGAACCCACGGGTGTTTGCGCAACGGTAACGGCAAGGTAGATTCCGATATTACGGGTTTCTAACGAGCTGTTCCAGCGATTCGCGTTGGGTTGTCGCGAATGTAACGTTTCAGGATGATTAGCATTTTAGATACCGAGTCTAGCCTTGGAGATACAAGGAGTAAGCAAGGTTTTAAACACTCTGCGTGTTGTAAATGCATTGCTTTGGGACTGATAGAATTTTCTATTGGGCAACTATGTTAGATTAGACTGTGGTGTGCATAGTTATAGATGATAGAGAAAGAATTGAGCTGCCATAGTTAAAAAAGATGATATATGAACACTATGGTAGCTAAAATGCTAACCTTTTAGCTACTGTAAAGCAAGGTTTTAAACATTCTGCGCATTATAAATGTATTGCTTTGGACCTGATAGAATTTTCTATTGTACAACTATGTCAGATGAGACAGTGAAATTTTAGAAAGTTCGTCGATCAGCTATCGATCGATGGATCCTCCGTCCGAGTTCACGAGGCGAACCGCACAATTCCGTTGCTTTTTTGCCTGGACAGTACCTCGAGCCGGTTTCAACGGATACGAGGAAAAAAAGGGCCAGGCTGGGCCGAGCTGGGCCGAGCCAGCCCGGTAGCGGCGAATGACAATGAGAAAAGGTCTGGTTATTCGCATGAACGGGATTCGATTCGAATTAAGAAGCTCCTTCCGCGACGGGAACGTTGCTACTGTACTTTCACGTGAAACACGTGGCGGTGCATCGATGGAAGTGATGGGTTTGAGTTTCTTTCACTTTTCTTGAGTACAATATGTATCATAGAAATTTAGAAAACTCGAACCCATCGCTAGAAGTGATGGGTTTGAGTTTCCTTCACTATTTTTGAGTACAATGTGCATCATAGAAATTTAGCATCACTTCTAGCGATGGGTTTAATTCCTCAACATACACAGCCATTAGTCGAGTTGCATCCGCACGGGTCAACTTGCCAACTTCTCGGAAATCCCGATGAAAGAGAAGCTTCGCGAGATCCTAATAAAAGGGAAGTTCTCTCGAGCGATCGGAGTTCTAAGTGACTCTCATCGCATCGAAGTACCACAATAATCTCCGCTATAACAATCTCCTCGAAACTGGAAAGGACGCCTCTTGATCCTCCGATTCGCATTGAAGAGTGTAGGTCAAAGAGAAAGCAACGTTGAAAATTGAATGTGCGAAAGCAATCTCGAATAATTCCGATTCGGGGAACCGGCGAATGAAACGGCCACCGTCGCGATTCCGCCTCCGGAAGATTGGGAAACGCTGGCTCGCGCGTCCCCTCCCCGGCTAAACAGAAGTTAAGGGATGCCCGGAGCATGAATGAATTCTCTGTGAGCTTTTATCGTCGATTCCTCAAATCTCCGCACGAAACTGTCCCTGCCAAGCGCCGCGCAGCTCCATTCAACTCGACGAGCCTGCGACACGCTCCGAATTCTCGCGCGCGATCGTCACGAGCGACGGAATATCCACCTGATTTCCTTCAACAGCCTCGACGAGATGTTCTCCGTGCATATGTAGTCCTCGATGTATCGGTGCTGATTCTCGATCAGACTGCAATTAATGTTCGGCACGCAGAGGGTCATGAAATGAGGTCTTAACCGGCCGATCGTGTACTTCGCGACGTCCGTGATCAGCACCGTCGTGGCTGCGCCGAATCCGAAGATTCCGATCTGAAACAGGGGTTCGGGACATTGTGGCTGACGTTTCGGTAATTGGTCGCGGTACCGATCCCTCCGGGATCTCTATTATGCGAATCGAGCTCGGGAACGCATGCCAACCCCTTGCTTTGCAATTTATTTCTCGAGTGTGATACAACTGCTTTAATTAATGATTTATTAAGAAGAACAGATTTATTATTAATGTTCCATGTCTTCTAATCTTTGCTCTGAAGTATAATAATTGATAATAGAAGAATTTTAAATTTGATACGGAGAGCAAAGGGTTAAGTACATTCGAAGGAACTTCGATAAACGAAAACGAACGTTTCTATGCGAAACAATGCTTCGGGATTTCTGATGCAATAATCATTGTTGAAAAGTTTGAAGTTCTCGATGTACAGAACAATGACCTTGACCAATATAGTCAAGATCAAGGTCATACAAGGGTTAATCTTTGTGGATAAGGGTGAAAGTTCGATTCTTGACGTATTTTTGCGAATATCTAGAAAACTGATGTTTCCTTGTAATTATTGGTTAATGATACTAACCTTTTGGTATGCGTTCCATATCCAAAGAGGAATATCTCGTCCGAACAGCGTCCTAGGTGGCTCGGTGTCGCAGTGCCTCGCGTGTATGTATTCGCCCACGATCATCTGGAACAGAATTTACGTGTTTCTAGATTAGGATAGAGCTAGACGAGGTTTTGCTGTGTTCTTCTGAGGTTTAGGAGAGATTTGGAACAATATCTTGACATTAATTAAGTTTGGAACATTATCTCTGTGACATTATTGGCAAGGCGAAGCAATTTTAATAGGAGATGCATATTAATGTACAAATAAATGATACAAGCATGAAAAAAATAGTCATAGTTGTATTTCAAACATCATAATATATTAAATTGACGAAACTTCACGGTTTGTAATGAGAAATTTTAAATGGCTCTGCTCTGAAGCACTCGAGTTCAGAGTTCTAAGCTGAAATTTGCTTTGTCAAACTATATCAAACTTCATAAAACTACAAACTACATCAAACTACGTAACCACATATGTATCTAAAATCGCCAGCGCCACAACCGCGATTACTTCAACACAGCAGCGAAACAAAGTTTCTCTTTCCCAGAAAGAACGGGTAATACACATCTACGCCTTCGTTCTTCCAAAATGGCACGGGATAAATGGTATCGCGTGCATAGTCCCTAAAAGGTGGAGCAACGTCGAGACAGAGGAAGCGAGAACACGAGAAATTCTTGAGAGACTCGGCTTCTCGCCTCTGGTAATTTCTTGCGCGGGTTTCCAGCGATCTGTCACGGCCTCCCGACAAAAGTGGGTTAACCGGTCAGATTCCAGATAAAGACCGAGAGGAGCCAGGTGATACAACTGACAGGCGCGAATGAATGAAATACAACGGCAGGTTCGGTCGTTTTTACCTGTTCCCCGGGACTCATCCGTTCTTTCCCCGTCGCTGCGGACGATAAACGGCCACGGTGTCATGTATCTCGGGACAATTCATTTATTTCTACAACAATCGGTCGCGATGCGGTAGGTGAATACTGCTGGTAGATCATTTGGTGACTTGTCGAATGGCGCAGAAGCAAGAGTCGAATTTAAATTTAATTTAAAAGATTTCAATGTTTAACCCTTAGTACTCCATGTTGTTCTGTAATCTATCAGCAACTGCAATTTTTATAGTATTCCTAGTGAAAATTAGAAATGCTATAACATTTCTTCGATCTTTTATTTTCCTTATTAGTACAAAATTAGGGTGTGTGGAAAATCGAATAATTTTAGGGTAGTTTCTTTAAGACTGATTGAAATATTTAATATTAGAACTGGTGCAATATTAGAGCTTACAGAGTTCAAAGGGTTAAACATTATTCGATCACAGTTTAAACCGATTTTCATTGATGCATTGTAACTTTCTGTTCTTGAATTCTCGAACAAATGTGTTGTTTTCTAGGAACGATGGAATAAAATGTAAAGTTCCTCATGGTTTCGCGTTTTAAAAGTTGAAAGAGCTAATGCAAGCGCAAACACGAGTAAACTCGTGACCGGTGAACAACGCGTTAATATCGAAAATCTGACGAGGAAAGACGAAAGTTGACCAACGAGACCCGCATTCCTCATCGAGTGACCTCCTCCCAGCTGTAGGCATCCACATTTTTCAAGCTGATCCCGGCATTTTATTATTCCTAGGGTTTCCCGTAGAGAATTTTACGGCGATGGATCCCTTTTAAGGGATACACCTGGTCGCACGGAGATAATTAATCGAGTCCGATCGGGGCTGAGTAGAATTTATAGAGGGGATTTACAATCTGTGGTTTACTTTCAACATTCTCGCGTCGAGAAGCATGCACGCGAGTGCCTTTGCGTTAAATACTCAGCCAGACTAACGCTTCGGGCGTCAGAGAATGTTACTTCGAGTAAATCACAGGTCTACCGAGAGAAAGATGGCGAACGAGAATTAGGGGAAGGGGGTACGTTCAATTTTCTATGGTATATTTTGATCATTTCTGCATCTGCGATGGATGGATCTAAGTGCTGCGTCAAATATTCAACCGGATTAACGTTTCAAATATTAGAGAATGCTATTTCGAGTAAACAATAAGCCTAACAATAGAAAAATGGCGAACAAGAATTAAAGGAAGGGGTGTATTCGATTTTATGCGATTTATTTAGATAATTTGTGCATTTTCGATGGATAGAAATGTCCCTGCATTAAATATTCAATCGGATTAACGCTTCAAGCATCAGACAATGCTATTTCGAGTAAACAATAAGTCTACCACCAGAAAAACGGAGAATAACAACGAGTAGAACGGGTAGAATCAACGTTACACGGTTTCTTTCGATAACTCGTGCGTTAAGAACGCCAGATACAACAAAACTATGAAGTTGAATATTTAATATTTCAAATTAAATAAATTAAATTCATCTATGAATTATCGTTAAATTATTTTCAAGTAATATCACCTATATCTCGTCGAAAACTATTGAACATTTCCATTGAGAAACTTTCGAGCGCAAAGGGTTAAGCGTATCTCCTCGTGAAAAGTCTACCAACAGAAAAACGAAGAATAAGAATGAATAGAACGGGTAGAAGCAACGTTACACGGTTTCTTTCGATAACTGGTGCGTTAAGAACGCCAGAAGTTAAGCGTATCTCCTTGAGAAACGTTCAGACAGCTTCAATTAGCGAAGACAAGGGGATTAACAAAGTTCCGCCCGAGATTCCTGGCAACGGAAAACCAGCTGCCCGGTCGGCGCGCACCGATTTTCGATGCGGCAATCAGAGGCAATCGCGTGTTGTCGCTCTCAATAGATTCGAGTGTCATTCGTTTAACCCGCGGAAGAGTACAGTAGCACTTGAAATAATAAGCTGGCCCTTGTTAGCAGCGATCCCTCTTCCCAGCACGATCGGTTCACGGGAATTCTGTCCGCGGGTGTTTGCCCTGTTCTTTCGGCGTTCAGTAAACTCGAGCCGAGCCGAATCGAGTCGAGTCGAGTCGAGTCGGCTCGAGATCGTCTCACCGTTTCACGGCTCATGGATTTTCTACCTGTGGTATCGCGGGGCCCTGTGGTATCCCGGTATCTCGGGAATCTGACAATGAGAAGGGTTGACGCGCCACCCCGCTGGCTGCTCTTGTAATCTCTTCCGCGCTCGAGAGAACGGATCGTTCTGTAGTCTGTTTTATATAGTTTTATGTAGCTGTGTAGAGTTCTATGTAGTTTTATGTGGTTGTATGTAGTTTTCTATGATTTTACCTAGCTTTATATTGTTTGTAGAAAAGTATATACAACCATATGAGACTATATAAAACTATATACAACTATGTGAAACTATGTGAGACTATATAAAGATTGTACCTAGCTTCATATAGCTTCATATAGTTTTATATAGTTGTATAGAGTTTTATGTAGTTTTAGGTGGTTGCATATACTTTTCTATAGTTTTACCTAGCTTTATATAGTTTTATATGATTTCATATGGCTTTATATAGTCTTATATAGTTGTATAATATAGTTATGTATAGTTTCATGCAGCTGTGTAGAATTTTATGTAGTTTTATGTGGTTGTATATACTTTTCTATAGTTTTATATAGTCTTATATAGTTGTATAATATAGTTACATATAGTTTCATATAGTTGTATAAAGTTTTGTATAATCTTATCTGCTTGTACACACTTTTCTGTAGTTTCACCTAATTTTCCATACTTTCCTACAATTCCATACATTTCCATATATTTTCCTACAGCCTCACATAACAATATATACTCACACATATTCCTACACATTTATCTCGAATCATCCAACAACGAAAACGATCGGAACCGAGGCACCAACGTTCACACGTCCCCCTATCCTCTCGATTCGCAGTACACGTGAACAGACATCGTCTGCGAGTTCCCATCGCATCGGCGCGCAACGCGATTAATCCATTAAACAAACGTCGTCCGTCTTTCCCTGACACGCTATTAATACCGCGCGTCTCGTTAATCAAGACCCGAAAATAGCGTTGCTAAACGCGGAATCCAATTACCGGGTGCGAGATCGGCTAACTTTAAGCCGAGTTCCGCGAATCTCGGAACGCGCGCGAGTTGATTATCCAATTAACCGTTCAAGGTGGGGGTCTACAAAACGTCCACCCTAAAGTCACGTGGGTCCGAGGTGGTACAGTCGCGGCATTACGCGCGTGTCGTCGCAGCGTTCGTTTTTTCGGGTCCGCGCGCGAACGTCTGTTCGCGGGGCTCGTTACACGACAGCTAAAAGTGGCCGAAACACGACACCCTTTAATCTTTCTCATTACGTTGTAATAGAATCCCTTTGTAGCATGATTATCTCTCGGATAGCCGGCCGTTCGTGGCGCGCGCCGATCTTACTACAGTGGAATTGTATAAACAACCCTCGAACGACCGCAGAAAGAGCGCCGCGCGCTGATCTCTCGTTGTTCGAATAATTCGACTTGAGTGCGAATGTTTCGTTTCCGACTGTAAGTTTCTTAACTCTTTGTGGACGAATGTCGGCATTGTAGAGAGATGAAATTGTTGTATTTGGGAATGATTAGATTAATGAAACAAGAGATCAGCGTGTGGTTTCCTTCTTTTCATGTTAATTAAGCGATTGGTGGATTATTTAGCTTAATCTAAAGGGTTAACACGTTCCGTGCCACGGAAACTTCGGTTATCTTTGCTTATGAACTGTATTGATCTTTTAAGTGAAATAATAAGTTGTATTCAGGTATTTGATCATTTTTTTTGTAATTTGATATTGTTTCTTTATGTGTTCACTACTTTGTATAGCACCATCCGTGACCATGTGTCTATTAAAAATATTTTCTTACAAAAATCGGCGTGTACCATAGGTGGTACACGTGGCACGGAACGTGTTAACCATTAACCCTTAGCACTACAGATGGTATTGTAATCTGCGACAAATTTTTATAGTATTTTTAGTGAAAATAAAAAATGCTATAACATTCCTTTGATCTTTTATTTTCCTTTCCAGTAGAAAATTTGGATGTGTGGAAAATCTAATAACTGTAGTATCTAAATTCTTCATTTCAAACGACAATATAAACAAACCTGTCTCTTCTCCACCCCAATCTCAAAGATCCAAAAGATACTTTTAACTTTCCACCCTCAACACGAGCCGTCAGTCCTCGAGAGCATCCCCCGCAAGAAAAAACGTGTCAAATATTTCGCCGACAGCCACGTCTCCTACAACTTTCATCAAAATCAGTGCGCAAAAAGCTCCTCAGATCCCCTAGAGCCGTCCACCACTCTGGCAGCGGTGACAGCGTTAATTCGAAACAGCGACGAGCCGAAAGCAGCGTCAAACAAAACACGTTTCCTGAAACCGAGCGCGATCTCCAAGCGGAAATCCGCGAGAATGCGCGGATTTTTATCTGAATCCTTTGCACTCTTTGAGGTGACTCTCAGTCACTTGATTCGATGCAACAAAACTATGAAGTTGAATATTTAATATTTCAAATGAAAGTTCTCATTGTTAAATATTTAAATAAAACTCTGTTGCTTAATTTATCTATGAATTATCGTTAAATTAGTTTCAAACAATACGACCTATATCTCGTCGGGAAATGTTGAATATTTCCATTGAGAAACTTTCGAGTGCAAAGGGTTGAAATATTTAACACATTGCGTACCGGTAACGAGAAATCTCGTTTTTATGTAAAGACACTTAGCCACGGAACTTCGCTAATTACCACAGCATTGAAAAAATATAAAATTTAATTCGAATTGATTATCTATTTAAAATATATTACATAACAATATAATATCTAAGCTTTTCTATGTATAGTGATGTAAGTTGACCTCAGTGAAAATTGCCATCCACACAATTCAGATTTCTGAAAATTAGCCGGTACGCAATGTGTTAATATTATAACTGGTGCAATATTGGAGCCTACAGAGTTCAAAGGGTTAACCCTTTGCGGACGAAGATTGTTGGAAGTATACAAAACCTTCAGATTCTGCTAAATTAAACACTGAATGCTTAAATCGTAGAGAATAAGGAAACTGTACTGATTCAAAGGGTTAAGATTTACGTTCGTGAATCTTTTTCGAATCGCTGGGAAGATACAAAAGCGACACGGCTCGCGTGAAGCCTCGATGCTCGTCTGTTCGAGCGCAGGAGCGCACGCTTTCCGCGTGGAAAACGGTTCGCGATCGGCGTGCCGCAAGCCATAAATTTCGGAGCGAGTCATCGCCTGCTCCGCCGCCACTCGACAGGAGTGAACGCTTAAAAATATCTAGCGTAATATATTAGATCGGCACACGGATTTTATCTGGCCGGGCGAACGAGCAACCGGCAGATAAAGAACAGCTGCCGGGCCGCGGTGTCCTCAGGAAATTAGATAAAAAGACAGAGCAGGTTTTTTTCATTTCCTCCGGCGCCCTCGTCTGCAGGCGTCCCTTCGAGGAACTAGGCGAGGCGAGAGGAGCATCAGACAAATCTGATCGTCGCTGTCGCGCGATATCGCGTGTCAACGCGTCACTGTGAGACTTTGTTCGGTTGCGCTCGTCGTATGGGGGATTATTTCTCCGATCCGGCCGATGGGAGGTTCGTTTTAACCGTTTGGATGCTAAACAACTTTTGTGGATGTTTAACAAAAATGCGGAAGTGACTGGGCGTGTATGCGAAAGAATTAAGAAGAGTACTTATCTAATGAGATCACAAATATTGTGTTATTACAGAAAAATATCAAGAAATAACATTTATTCGATAGATTACTTTCAGTTTCTTCGAATACTTGTTATAGGAAGTGAAAATGTTTATTTTCGAAATCGTGTCGAATAATCAATGTTTTTAAGGTATCAATAATTGCGAAACAAGGTTTACGGACGTTTATTCTACACTTTATCCTATTGTTCTTCGAAAACTACGTTCGTCTGTAGAAATCGCGAAGACTATAGCTTCAAAGATAGAACATTGCAACGCGTATTCGCGTAATTGCTCGAGTCAAAGTCTAAAACTATTACTAAATAATGTTTAATCAATTCAGCATCCGTCAAATTGACGGGTTCCGTAAACCTAGAGTTAATGAACTTTATAACACGACACGTTCCTGATTTCGTTGTTTTGCAATGATTAACCTACTTGCTATTCGAGTAATTAAATCATTCGTTTGCAACTTAGTATTAGTATATTTGGAAGACTAAGTGGCAGCATAAGTCGATCAAGTCGAATTATTATAATTCAGAAAGACACGATAGGTAAAAATGGCGTCTTAATTGCAAACATTCTTATATTGCAGATAACGCTACCTAAATAATGAAATAATTTGATATTACATTATTGTCATTCCGTGTATCTTGCTCTAAGAACTCGTATGGTATTCAACGCGTTAATCAAATTGATATATAATTCATCTTTATCTCGTCGATCTCGCACATTTCAAAGAATCTTCGTCCGCGTTGGGCTAAACTCGACTACTGTGACCCGAAATGATGGAATTCGAGCGTGCGTTACTGCACAGCAGTCGCTTGGTGCACGGTAAATCCAGAATACGTATCGAAGAGGAAGCCGGTACGCGTTCCGCCGGTTTCGCATGTGTTCTGTTTCCTTTAGTGGCTAACGACCCTTCCGGTGGCAGACCCGAGCGCGGTTTCCAAGGATGCAAATAGAGGATACAAATAGAGGATGCAGTCTGTTCGAGCCGAGCCGCGCGAATTGCGCGAGTTGCGTGAGTTGCGGCTCGGCGAAAATACATCGGCGTAGCGCGTTCTGTTCGCGAATGCACGTGCACCGCTCCCAGATACCGCGAATCGATTCCCACGAGCGCCGAAACGCCGATGCGGTTGCGTCCCATATGGCCGGTCGTTCTTCCACGCGCGCCAGTGCTCGAGCAGTGATTCTCTCGATCGACGAGCTGCAGCCATTATACGCTGCGATCGACAAGATCAAGGCCACGGTGCTGCCGAAATCTCCATTTCTATGTCGATGTCAATTTTAATGTCAATTTTAATGTCAATTTTAATGTTAATGTTAATGTTAATGGAATTTTCTGCTCCACAAGTACATTATTAACGATAAATACTTCTAACGAGTGCAGCTACAAGATTAAATAGTTCGAGACCATTATATCATTTAAAGTTACAAACTTCTTAATCTAATTGGCGCAACGCCTTCGAAATTTCAATTTCAATTACAATATTAATTTTAATTTCAACATCAATACCGATTTGTACAGTTTAGAGTAAAACGAACAGAAAGATCAATTTTCTGTTTCAAGAGTAGATTATTACCGATAAACAGTTGTAACGAATGCAACTACAAGCTTAAATATTCCAAAACAGTTAGACAAAACTTACAAACATCTTACTTAATAATCTATTAGCGAAATAATCTCTAAACTTCGAGAATTCCCAACTACCACTCCCTGCCGTTGTCCGATCGATATGAAATGTTGCTGCCCCATCGCTGATAAAATCGTACTGAATCCACGGATCGGTAATTCGTATTTATAGACCGCGGCTGTATCTCGCGACAGTTTCCCGTTGAGAAACGAGCGAGTCGAGCATCGGAATCGGCGATTAACGATACGAAATGGGGCAAGCGCGGACGACGGTGGAACGCGGAACACGATTGACGACGGACGCCGCGCGGATCGCTTCTTTTACGGCGACGATCGCGAATCTAGCGATTCGCGGCCGGTTGACTCACCGTGCATATAGGTAGGAAGAGGCCGATCACGTAGAGCATCGCGCTGGTTATCGTCGACGAGTGAAACGGGTGGTACAGTGATTCATCGTTGCAGAAGAATCCACGTTTGTACGGCTTGCCGAACAGAAAGAACATCAGCACCGCCATGCCCACTGTAAACAGACAATAACCATTATTCCATGGAATTCGCCGCAACGAAATACATTCGAAAAAGGAGAAAAGAATGAGAGTGAGAGGAAGAGAGAGAGGGAGAGAGAGAATTTCGCAAAAGGGAACAAAATGGAACTTTAACCCTTGTGCGGACGAATGTCGACATTCCGGCAGGTCCTTCAATAATATTATTAACAATCTCATTATTATCATATATTACAGCTCCTTAAGAAAACCTTGCTTCTATTCTCATGAGTTACACCACTGTATTACCTCGACTTTTCGAATTTCTCAAGATTCCATCGTTAAAATCATTAACTTTGGGCAGGTCAGATATTCAGATTTGGAATACTAAGTTGCGAATGAATGATTTAATTATTGAATAACAAAGGATTGATGTATAGTTTCCTTCTTTTCTATTATTTAACCCCTTGTTAACGAGTGGGACTCGTGGTGAAGATTTTCAACATGATTCAACAAATATATATATTAGTTAATTCGAATTCAAAGTAAATATTATTTCTCTGTAATCACCTATTATACTTAAAAGGAAATATGGGCTTAACATATGCTTAGAATTTTTTTCTTTTTCCAATAAATTATCAATGACAAAGTAGCCGTATCGATCAGAGTTGAGAAAGAAATCATAGGTCAAGGGGTTAAGCATTCGATGTACAATTTAGCTTCATATGCAAGCTTCGTGTTTAAAAAGTCTTCGGCAGTGAAGGGTTAACGCAAACCGACCAGTTAAACTGACTTTCCGAAATTCCTGTAACTCGAAAGTACGTCTACCGAGGCTTGAATTAATTCGCAATTCAATTTGCATATTGCTAAATCAATGGCGCAACCACCTGCGGAACACGTGCTACGAGGCGTTTTTGTTCTAAAAATGGCGTCTTATGACATCGACAATCTTACTTACGACAAACTTACAATACATTGTTACATTAAAATGATTAACGAAATCAGCGTACATATACTGTACTAACTAACACTACAACTACCGTACCGGTCAAAATGACTGGTTTCGATTTGTTTGTTTAGCAATTATTGATGTTTTTGAAGCATTGAATATTCGAAATGATTTTCAAAATAAATTGTTTCATTTCAGTACTACAATGAATATCCGAAGAAACTGAAAATAATCTATTGTTACAATTTTTATGGGAATTGCATATTAATCGTATTAAATGCTCGGTAGTTCTAGTGTTAACTACATTCTTCACGAGACTTGGTTAAAACTCTTTAAATTCGCTTGCAGCAAGAGGTCGATCGAACAATGGAAACTAACCGATCATCGACCATAAAGAGAGAAAAGTGGAATGCACGAGATGCAGCGTGCGAGTAATCGCGAAACGCGATGGGAAACGGAACTCTTTGAAATTATTCGTTATCCCATAGAATTTCAGATACCCGGGGAAGATAAAGGAAAAAGAAGGGGAACGATACACGATTCTTTCGATCGGATTCCTCCTCGAGGCGCAGCCGGTCGCCTGAATTACGATCGTGAATTACGATCGGCCGTACACGATCTCGGAAATGGTTGCGGGCTCTCGTTTCAGTCAAACCAAACTTACAATTATCTTAATGGCTGACTCGGCCGGCCAAGCGATTTCCAGTTAGTGGCGTGCGGGTTGGATTTCCATGACGCGAACGTCGTAATTTCGCGGACAGTTACGCCCGACGGGAGGTTTCTCCGCGGGGAACTTTCGCGGTGGCGGTTTCGCTCGCCACCGTCATCATCGAATTACGGAAACTCGTTACCATCAAGCTGCGAGCCGCGCGCGCGCGGCCTGCATTTCATTTCGGTCTGCAAAAACTCGAGCTGAACTCAAAGTTTCGAAGATCCGCGAGATTTTTACGTGTTCTGCGTGCAGGTGAATCAGATGATTGCCAGTTTTTAGATTTTTGCTTGTAAAACGGAAGTGTTTGAGTGTTTCACTCGTTTCTTTAGTATGAAAGGTAAGTATATGTCGTTAATAGCTCTTGTACTGTGAATCTTTATGGAAATATCGACGTTCAACCCTTTGCGGACGAAGATTCTCTGAATACAAAACTTTAGCAGACGAAGCTAAATTATATACCAATTGCTTAGATAATAGAAAAACCAGAAATGTGCTGATCTCTTGCTGTTTCAATAATTAAATCGGGTTAATATAATATGCACACATTGTTTCCTGTGTTTCCTCAGTTCAATTTGTTATTGATATACCTATAGATTCTATACGAGTACAGAGAATGTTTAAAAGCTTGAGAATCTTGGTGCCATAAGCAGGAAACTGAGAAAATCGGTATTGCCTCGGATTTTAAGACGATAAAGTGATAATTGAAACTTAGAATCAACCTGAGAACCTTCGGAAACAGGTTACCTCGCAAATATTGATACAGAAATAACAAATACGAATGTAGTCGTTAGATATCCCAGCAATGTGTCGGCAAACACCATCAAACCGTGACAACGTCTTCAAATGTTTTCCCTTCTGCAAAAGCCTATCGCTGAAGCTTCCACGTAAATTTGTTTTTGCGCAGCCCGACCTCTTCTTCCTTCCATTCTTATCGGTAATGGTCGTTTTTGCCGCCGCATCGCATAAGTTTTCGACGCCACAAAGGTTTAATGTTTCCTTCGGACATTAACGGCGCCGGCGATGCCGCAACATCGCCGCGAATCGCGCGAGTAAATATTAACCGCTTCGAAATGAGCTTTTTGCGGCGTCGAAATGAGCTTTTTGCGGCCTCCGCTGTACGCGTCGCGCTTCTAAATATAGATGTATCGCTAATCACGGTATCGGCGATATTAACGATATCGTTGAATGGTCTCGCGAGTCGTTCGCCGAGGAAGCGCCGCGCTTCTTGCCCGAATGTTTCCCGATAAATCGCGAATACTCGCGGAACGGCTTGCAGCTGACCAAACGGCTCACGTTCCGCGATTATTCAAAGGTAATCGTAGCACGAATTTACGATCGAGCGGCCCGGTAATATTTCGGAATATGCGACGTGACGTTTTCAAGGCCTCCGACGAGACAGCGTTTGTCGCTTTGCTCGTGGAACGATCGCGGCTTGAATACAAAGATCGTCGAATATCGATGAATAATATCGCAACAACACGACAGAAGTTATTTAGAGTTCATACAGCGTTTGCAAATCAAATTCACCCTTCTGCAACGTATCTGCCTCGCGATTCCAGCTTTTTCTTTGAAATAAATCATTAATACACTTATTTCTAATAAAACTTTGATTCTCTTTAACATTTCATATATGTTTTGCAATAAAATATACATAGACAGTTACTCGATTCGCAAAGGGACGAACGTAACACAGAAAACCTATAACAAGCGAAAGGGGGACACCAGCGATCGGCCATCTTGTCGCTCGCTCCGCTGCTGCACAGCCTCGAACGCCTCTTTTCCCGATATTATCTCGACTCCGCGCGCATTATCTCAATTCCCGACTTTTCTCAAATACCCGAGTATCTTCGAAAAGAATGGGAACGCGACTAGATAAAAAGGAGGTCTGAGCGGAGTCGAGCCGAGCCGAGACCGGCCGAATCGCGGCGCTGATTCACCGGCAAAACCCGAAACGATTCGCTTCTGGTCTCGGGCGAGGCTCTCCTCGATCGGAACTACATCGGTATCGTCGGCGGGACAACCTAGCCAAATGAATTTAGACGTAATGTGGCGCGTGCATCGCCGCGGACAAGCGTTTACGATAATTGCCGCGCGTGTTATCTCGCGTTCTCCGTTCTCCGTCCACGCGCGCGCGCGCCTAATGTCGTAACATCCGTTCCGGATAAGATCGATGCGTAACATTCGCGATCTCAACGCTGGAACGACCGGTATCCCGAGCGCACCTACTTGTCCCCGGCAGAGATTCGATAATTTGACGAGTTACGGCGTTAATCCGCTCGCGTTCTCTTCGTTTTCCACGGCGCTCCGTCGCTCGCAGCGAATTTCCCGACTTTCACCGGCTGGCTCGCGATAAACGGCCGATAACGCGGCGACGTCGTTACGCGAGCGTAACGAGATTCACCGGGGACGGCCTACGATAACGAGATCGTAATTGCTTAATCGAACCTTTCGAAAGAGAACGTATCGCGAACGGGCGCGGTGAATTGTGGAAGAAAAGGACTCGTTGCGAAACGTCGGTGAACGTTAAGTAACGCTTGACGAGACGCTTTTGTTTGAAAACTGTCAGCGATGTAGATAGTCTTATTGGATCGCGCGTTTCCGATTGTTTCGAGATGTGTCGATTTATAGAATGTTATTAGTAAGAGTACTGGCAATGATAGTCATCTATGGGTTCGACTGGATGAAGCAATTTCGATCTTTGAGACAATGTTCGTAACGAGTTTAGTTGCTTATTGTATTACGATCCATTGTACCGGGCAGACTGTTTACTTAGTGCCTCGGCTCAATGGAAAGTGATTCATTATGCTATTATAAAACCGACAATTGAGTCGCTGAAATGATTACAATACATTCAGAAGCTGAGACGGATTTCTGACGTCAAAACGAGTGAATCCTTTAATGACTACAGAGAATATTCCATTGAAGTGAACGAAAATCAGGAAATAGCGAGGAATGAACTGAACCAAGTTGATCTCTGAGCGACTCAATGATTAATCAACGAAATTAGTGTGCATATTCATTCCTACGGACTTGACGCTACAACTACCGAGCATTTGATGCGATTAACCCTTTGCACTCGAAAGTTTTTCACTAGAAATATTCAATATTCGATGAGATACAGATGGTGGTCTTTGAAACTAATTAACGAGAGAACATATAAATTAAGAAGGAGAGTTATTTTATTTCAATATTCCACGTATCGATGCATCATGCAAAGCTTAATGTTATATATAAGACTATAATTTTGCAAATCAAATCCTAAACATTGTAATAAATTATTTCTAGTATCTAGTATCCAAGTGGATCTATTTTCAATATCATTAGCATTCAATGCTCCTAAGATACCAATTGCGAGGCAAACAGATCGAAACCGGTCG